ACAGTCCTTTCTCCCGTAGTTTTCGTTTGTGTAATTCCGGCATCTTGCATTCAAGCCAAATTTAATCTTCAAACATTTAAACGAAATGGCAAGCTTTATCCTCTTTCTTCTTCATTCGTTTTCTGTCATTGTTTTCTTCTTCCGCATATTTTTCAGAATCATTAACTCCCTTGCGTTTCAGTGATACTGTTGATTTGCTTGGGGTGAAATGATATCTATCTATCTATCTATCTATCTATCTATCTATCTATCTATCTCATTTCATATCTATCTATCTATCTATCTATCTATCTATCTATCTATCTATCTATCTATCTATCTGCATATATACATACACACACACAGATATATATATATATATATATATATATATATATATATATATATATATATATATATATATGTGTGTGTGTGTGTGTGTGTGTGTGTCTGTGTATGTGTGTGTGTGTATGCGATATCTAATTTTTATTACTGCTGACGGATATGCAGGGTATGGTGGATGCATTATCGTCTAAATTATGCAAAAATGAATATAACACTGACATCTCATTTTAATAGATATATTTACCAGAATTATACAAAAATATCTTGAAATACTAAACAGTAAATTTATTCAGTAAGATGGCATTGGATTTAACCCCGTCCTCCAGACATCTTTGGAATCGCTGCGACTCTTATGGATGGTCTCCTTCCTTAATCCTTGCCTTCACTTCATTTTTCATGTTACAAGGAATTTTGTTGATCTCTCGCTCAACCACGACCCACACGTCATAATCAAGGTTGTTGTAAGGGATGTTGTGTTCGCAGAAATTTTCTTCACTGCTAAGTCCGGGCTTTCCCGTTTACGTGGCATGGGGCACAGTCCTATTGTTAGACATTGGTGTTCTCCAGCTGCCACCCTCTCTACACAGAGCAGTATTATGCCCTCACGACCCTTGATATAGACCTTTGTGTTGAGTCTGAGGCCCTGTGGGAAAATGAATGGAGGCAAAACGTCGTCATAACTAGTGATCACTCTAAACACCTTCCTAATCACCATTACACCCATCCAACTCTTTCCGATTCCACTGCACTGTCCTCAGATTGACACCCAAACAATCTTTCCGTATTGGAGCATCGCGCGCGAATTCCAAGTACTACAGCAAGCGATTTCCAAATTTCTGGCGAAATAAATTGCGTCGTGGTGCTTTTTTTTTCTTCACACAGAATAGTGCCCAACTGACCCTACAGTTGACAAAATTAAAAACAAAAGACGCGCATGCGCGAATTAAAAATATAAACAGCGACAATTTACCCATCGCACGCTTTATTATAATGAGAAAGAGATCAATTTTCTTTCCTCTCTCTGTCCCTTAATTTCAATATCTTTTTCTATCCTTCATACTATTGCTTTCTTTTTTTTAATTTTAGCATTTCATTGAACCTAACTTTATAACGGAAGCAATAATTTCGTTTCATCAAATTTTACCTTGTTTTTCATCTTTCAGTCCGTGTGGAAATATTATTACGCTTCCAAAATACTTTCATTTTCTTATGTATGATTTTAACATTCTGTCTGTACTTGATAGCAAGCTCTGTTAGGTTTTCAACTGACTTCTAACCGTAAATAATGTTCGATAAGATTCGATGTCAAGCGGAAAGAAAAACGAATTATTGTTTTATTCTTTACTTGTTTCTTGTAAAACTTCGACTCGTATTTCGAAGAGCTAGTCATTATCAGCGCTTGGTGGGTGGGTCAAATGTTGTCCTTTGTTTGTTGTCTCTGTAATATGGAAATGTATCGCCCTAACTGTACTTAAAAAAACGGGTGACGGGCAAAATGATGTGTGCGCTTGATTGAACCTGCATTATTTATAACGTTCTATTTTTACAACGTACTTCCTCACACCAGAAATGTCGTGCGTAATACGTAAGTAAAAGTCAAGAAAGGAAACACTTATGCAATCATTTTACTCTCTTTCGTTTGCTGTTTTTATGCTAACTTTGAATTTCCTTTGATTTTTACCCGTTTTCCTATATAATGTAAGATCTACAACATTTAAAATCAGAAATTATAGCTTTAATAAATAAAACGAAAGAACATTTTACTAATAAATCCAAATTTAATATTATTGGATGTTTCGCTTCGTAAAAGATTGGTTTCGTTTCATTTGTTTTACGATAAAATCAATCTTTTCCAGGTTATTTAATGTCGATGTCTGTAAACTTAATAAACAATAAATTGGTAGACATAGTTAAAAAAATGCTCGAGAGTAATATATATATATATATATATATATATATATATATATATATATATATATATATATAGCATTTCACTCTGTAGAGGGCCGTGGCTGTTATGTTGATGATAGAAGTCAGACGTAGAAGAAACGCATGTAAGGTTCAGATTCTCCTGCTCGCCGGGCCCAATTACATAAAAAGGTTGGACTCTGATTAAGTCCAAAGAAGAAGGTAAAGAAAGCAAACAAAACACAAGACCGATAATATATGTATATACAAATACATATTAATAACAAGTTACAATACATGGAAACAGTACAAAGGACGAAGTGTGTGTGAATATTCTGTATGTGTGTGCGTGTGTGTGCATTGTGCTTAGCGTGTTTCCACGCTATTCCTTTGTTTCGAGGTTGATAGCTGAAATCCTGAAGGAAAAAGAGATTTACCTCAAGGTGTCGGCGCACAGGCCTGACGGAAAAAAAGAGATAGAGGCGAAGGGTCCGCGGCTATTATACGACTGTAAACGAAATGCCAGATAAGGGCCAATCACATTGCATATCCTTCTCTAGATTCCGTCGGTGACCTTAAGACGTACAACAGGGGCTCCAGAACATATATGGCAGCTGTATTCCATACAAGAGCCAATGGTTGATTTATAGATTTGAAGGAGGAACTCGGGCGAAATAACTTTCTGGCGCGACATAGGGAACCAACTTTCCTTGCGGTAGATGAAGCTTTTGAATCAATTTATTTGTTCCTTCTCAGGTCAGCTGACATTGTGAGATCAAGCAGTCGCAGAGAGATGATTTCGTGGTGTTGAGCATCAGACATTTTAATGGGAGGCAGGGAGAGTTCTCTGTGGTGAGTAAAAGAGATCAATTTTGTTTTTTTAGGCATTAATGTTCAACAACCATTTCTTGCCCCAGTCAACAAAAGATTGGAGGTCCTTTTCGAGATCAACGGCCAAATTAGTTCTGTCAGCGATGCCAGATTTGCTATTGAGCCAGAAGTAAGTAGCGTCTCCTGCATACATTCCTACTTGGGAACTGATGACAACGAGAAGATCGTTAATGAAGATCAGAAAGAGTGTAGGGCCCAGGATAGAAGCTTGGAGCACACCTGCATTTGTGAGAAAGGAACTTGAGGAGAATCCGTTAAGCCCGACCTTCATAACACGGTTTGACAGGAATGATTTTAAGTCAAATAATCGTCATGAAATTCTGTATCTCTGAAGCTTACGCAGTAGGCCGGCATGCCAAACACATCAAACGCTTTCCCAAACATAAATATTTCATCTATTTTGCGAATTTTAATGGATGATACATTAATGAAAAAAAAAACGGTTCTTGTGTGCGGTGTTTGCTGGCACACGCACGTGGGTAAAATACGGATATGTTTTTTGACAAATGAATGTCGTACGTCGCCAGGAAATTCACAAGCGCTAACTTGATTATATAAAAAAAATACAAAAAAAAACAACCTAAAGCAATTGGTTGAAAAGCCCAACCAAAATTGCCCGAACTATATCACCAACCGTATTTGAGGATTGTGAATTTTTAGATAGATTGATTCGTTTTTTATGGATTATCAACCCTTGCAGGTTATTGTTAAGGAGTTCACCTATTTTTTCATACAAGTGGACTCGCCCAGTGTGTACTGCTGCCGGTGAATACCCGAAAATGACAGTCAGAGAGTGATACATTGATACAGTGACAGTGATAAAGTGAGAGGGTGAGGTAACCGCTTTGTAGGAGTCACAGTTGCGAGCACGTAGACACAGAAGGAAGTCATACTTCAATACTGAATTTCCTAGACTGTATATATATATTATTATTGCTACTAACCGCATTTCTGGATCTACTAACCGTATTACCAATTGTATTATTACGTCGATACATTTATTTGCGATATTTCATTCCTGCGTTTGTCATTCATTTTGAGACCGGATTTCATCCCGGAATCCACAACAGTTTTATTTAAAATCCTAATTTGTTTTTAGATTTTGAGCATTTTTTATAGATATAACGGTTTAGTTATACAAGTCTTACTAATTAATCCATAGTTGGAAGAGGAGAAAAAGTTCATTCATACCTTTCCCAATGGTATTTACGCGTAACTGAATTTAACGAACCCAACGGGAAGTGGAACTCGGTTCTTCTATTAACAATTCCGAACCGTTATACACCATCCGCATATCCAAATATCCTCAAGCAGTCACCCGTATAGGTAATGACCAGGCTCAACTTTGCTTAACTTCGGTGATCGAGCGAAAAGAATTGTTGAAAACCCTTTATTTCACACGTTTGCAATCACTTGGAATTTTGTGCAGGATTCATTTGAAAAAAATGAATACGTCATATTGCTATTACGTCGATTTTTGTTACTTAAAAATGGCGGTTTTATTGAGACAGGCTTTCGTTTAGCTTATTAAATATCAAAATAGTTGGCCTTTGTATGGAGCATATAGTTATTGAGAAAGAACCTTTACATAGTTTTCTCTGAAGAATTTTTATGTTATTTTTAGGTTAAACTGGTCTGATACAATTTAGAAGAAAATTTAAATAGAATATTACAAAAAGTGGGTAAACGCAAACAGCGTCAGCTTATTCAGATAATAACAGCAATTGTTAATTTTGAGAATTAACAACGTGAGAAGAGGACAGGTGAAGATCTTAGACGACTGGTTGATTTGAGTTGGGTTCAGTAAGGGTTAAGTTATTATGCGGTGTGATTTATTGGTTTGATAGTAACTTAATGTTATGTAATCGTTCTTATACAAAACTGTGAATAACCGCCAGAGAATGGCAAAAAAAAGAGGAGAAACAGAGAAGAGAAATTAGCGGAACTTAAGGAAAAGAAAAGAATTAAAAGAAAGAAAGGAAGCGACTAGAAAAAAATGCTAATGATAGAAAATAAAAGAAGGAATAAAAGACTGGCAGTAGAGAACGGAAAGAAAGAATAGAATAGGGAAGGCGAATAGGGAAAAGAATGGAAGAGAATGAAAAAGAATGTGGGTATAGAGAATAGAAAGCATGCGATTTAATAATGATGGAAGATATTTGAAAAGAAAAGAGAGAATAGAAAAATGAAAGAAAGAGAATTTATAAGCAGAAAGAAAACCGAATGAAAAAGAAAAGAGAAATAGATATAATGTTGAAAACAAATTGAAGAATAGAAGAAAAGACAATTTTGTGTGTATAGAAAAATGAAAGAAAGACTATTTAAAAGGAGTTGAGCATAGAGAATGAAATAAAGGATATTTAAAAGATGGCGTAGTTGAGAGAAATGAAGGAAAGCGAAGGATTTTTTTTTAAAGTTTAACAAACTCTCATTAATAATGATATTCCTAATTACATTGTTGATGAAAAAATTACACGACCTATTAATCAATATTAACATAAATCAAAAGGAACATAATACTTCATCAAATAACTCTAAATATATCAACCTAATCTACCGCGATCAGAAATATTCTAAGTACAAAAAAGACGAAGGAATCCTAAAAAGAACCATAAGTACTATAATCCCAGTAAAAAATAAAACTAATTATAAATTATACTAAATTAAATACCACGAAATTAATAATCCCCAATAACACTTCTCCGTCAACTATTGTTTTGCAAAAGACTAACATTGTATATCAATTTAAATGTTTTTTGTGAGATTTTATCTCCGACAAAAAAAAGTAACATTATCAAGGAGAGTTACACTACATATGTCGGATAAAAGCTCTATCGCACAACATTTAAAGAAACACAGCTGTCTATATTCAAAATTTAAAAACATATTTATTGATAATCTAAATATACTCCACCATGATAATAAAATAAATCAAATTCTTACAGACATCTATATAAGAAGCATACAACCAACACTAAATAAGGTTAGACTTGAGTATGGCAATATTGTTTTAAAATGCCTATAATAGCGATATTTTCAAAATGTTTAAATTACAATTATAAAAAATTACAATTATGTAAATTAAAGTTACTTCACTCACATAAAAACATGGAAAAATGATTGATTTAACAGTTAATGTTTAAAATAATTATAATATAGCACATTTAATCGAATTTATAAAAAAATTCACAACTATCAATTATATTATTTTTTTTTGTTTTAGCAGTTCACCCCTGAAGAAGATCTTGTATGTGATTGAAATACTTGAGAAAATAAAATAAATGGAAAAAAAGCTATGGCGCCTTCCTTACTGAATTTAATATTAACACTGGATAGAATTAAAATAAAAATAGATGTAATATGTCCATTTTATCCAAGGATAATATCTCTCTCCTTCTCTCTCTCTCCTTCTCTCTCTCTCCTTCTCTCTCTCTCTCTCTCTCTCTACTCACACACACACACACACACACACACACACATATATATATATATATATATATATATATAAATATATTTAAATAATTATATATATATATATATATATATAATTATTTATTTAAAAATTTAAACATAAATATGTTATAAAATCACTACAAAAATAGCCATTTTGTTTCAACACCCATGGTGTCTTATCAAGTCATGATGTTGAATGTAAAATAAATGGTTTTAAAAGTTTCAAATTAATTAACGATCTTTCGCAAGGGGAAAACGTTGTTACAAATGCTAGAATGACCAATCAAAATACAAGTATAGGAAAATTCAAAAAGCTTGATAACGAAGTCATGTTATAATAGCTATTCAGATCTTTAAAATAGGGGTAAAATTAAAAAAAGAATTTATTCTAACCAATTATTATTAAATTATATGGTAAAATTTGATATTAAAATTAAAATTAAATATTACCAATTTTAAAATCCAAATTTAATCACTATTAAGTTTAAAGTTATAAAATTGCTGAGGGGGAAAGAAGAAATACATATGTTATTCAATTTACTTCTTCATTGAAATGACGTTAGAATAGACGCTAATATGTCATCCGGACATCTGACAATATGTATGCATTTTAATCCCAAGTGTGTGAATGGGGTCTTAACCTCACGCGTAAAACAACCCAAACACACTTAGATTATAATACATAAGCACCCAGACATATTTATATATATATACACACAAAAAGTGACGAGACAGGGAACATCTCCACGGCACTTTAAAAAAAAAAAAAAGAAAAAAAAAGGGATACAAACACATGCATATATACACAATAAAAAGTGAATGCACTTTCCATACACATAGACACCAATAAAAACATGTACACACATCCACATACATTGACCTAGACAATCAGATGCCACATCCAAGAAATATTGAAGACTGAAAGTGTCACTAAACAAATGCTAACCACTTAAATATATATATATATATATATATATATATATATATATATATATATATATATATATATATAATGAAAAATATACTGAAAAAACAACCAAAAATCCTAATATTTTAGCTCAAAATAAAATTCTTTTCGTTTTTCATTCAAAATACTCAAATACTTAAATTTGAGTATTTGGAATGAAAAACAAAAAGAATTTTTTTTTTGATCTAAAATATTAGGATTTTTGTTTGTTTTTTCAGTATAATTTTCTTCATATTGTCGGATCTATATCCATATATTTGCTTACATATATATATATATAAGCAAGTGTAAATGGATATAAATCCGACAGAATGTGGATTTTTGAAAAACAAACAAAAATCCATAAATCTTTCATTTTAACTACATTTATTGATTTTTGTTTGTTTTCAAAATTTCATATATATATATATATATATATATATATATATATATATATTAGGAAAACATGTTAAAAATCGCTATACAATTATGCTTCCACACTAAAAATGCGTCTCCTCGGGCGATGTTAAACTACTGGCGAGTGAATGATTAATTTAATTTCAAACGTAGAACACTTCCTCTTTTTTCGAGAAAAAAAAAACAGAATAAAAAGAAGCTTGTGGGATTTGCTGCGATTAACCAATCGAATGTGACCTACGCTACATTCAAACTAACCGAAAAAATGATTATAGTTCATGACACGTAGTTGTCTGCATATAAATCCTAGACGATTCCCTTATAGGCAAATAGAAGTATTTACAGTACAGTATTTCGTACGATGCATAGAAGTCTGACGTTCAACTTTCCTAATAAGTAAAAGCTAAAGGGGTAGGGAATTAATTTTACAGACTGCTACCTAGTTATATGCTTGTTCAGATACTTACATGAAATTTTGTAATTGATAAATAAAAGGCCCCATGAAGAAAATGATAAATAATATTACCGTTTGAAAATATAAAAAATAAAAAAAATAGATAAACAATACTAAACTACTTTGGCAAAATAATATGCAAACGTTAAATAAAGAGCATCCACATAAGATGTTAATAATACTAACAAACCATCTGTACATCTATATAAGATGTTAATAATAATAACTAATCAAGTTAAGATATTAATAATACTAACTACCTGTACATTCATATAAGATGTTAATAATACTGACTAAACATGAATACAGAGCTATATTAAACAATCTATATTAAATCTTACAAATAGAATAATAAGCCATATAAGGTCCACCGCAGCTCATCTTCTCATTATTACTAAAAGAAGACGATTTACAAATTTGAACTATAAATATATTTTTCTAGTTTTGTTTTATTTTTAATTTTACTTTAAGAGTTTTATCAGCTTTATTGTATAGCGATGTTTAACATGTTTTTGATTTGTTCTCCTAAAATAAATAATATTTAGCTCTATGCTGTATTGATCTCTTTTAAATTAAATGAAACGCACAGATGTTACGTATATATATATATATATATATATATATATATATATATATATATATATATATATATATATATATTAAATACGCAATAAATATACAATAAAGCCCTGTTAAAAAGCAATTTTAAGCAAACACTAAATTACATAGATAAGTCAGTAAGTAAAAAATCCACTAAACCCAAAAATAGGAAAAGGAAAATTATATGGTTCAACCCACCTTTTTGTAACCTCTCCAATATTAACATAGGTAAATACTTCATAAAACTGATAGAAAAACACTTTAGCAAAAATCATCTTTGAAAAAATATTCAACAAGATGAATCTAAAGATTAGCTATTCTTGCATGAACAATATGGAAAGAATTATTAGCTCACACAACAGTAAAATTTTAAGAGATCTTCAGGATAATCTAAGACAAAATCAAGATACAACACGAATGGAAAAAACAACATGCAACTGCAGGACAGGATCAGAGTGCCCAGTTGAAGGAATATGCATGGCAGAGAACACAATATATGAAGCAACAATTTTCCCCAAAGAAAATGTTGAAGAGAAAAAGATATACATTGGAATATCAGTGGGAGATTGGAAACACCGACTATACAACCATCGCCAATCCTTCAAAAATAAATGTAAAAAAAAACAAACAGCACAATCAAATCATTATTGGTTTTTGTTGGAGAGTGGCCTAACACCACAAATAAAGTGGAGAATAATATCAAGAGCCAAAACTCCCAAAAACTTCAGAGACAGATGCAACTTATGTTTGAAGGAGAAAATCTTCATAATCAAACATAAAGATCCAGACATACTACTAAATAGACACAATGAACTAGTTTTTAAATGCCGGCACAAAAACAACCTAAACCTAAGCAAGTACACTAAGAAATAATCATATAGGAACAGCAATTTTGAATGTTTTATATTCCCTTTGTTTTTAGAAATATTATGATGCACACGTGAACGCTAACACATGACTATATGTATACAACTATGATAATGTATTTGCACACTGAGACACAGGTTGATATGTACATGTATATGTTTTTATACGGAAAAAGAAGTATACCAGTTTTCTCTTTTTTTTTTGTGAGTGTGGAGATGTACAATTAGATAGGTACTTATATATTTTGCCATAAATATGAAAGATCGGGTAATATTATATGTGTAAAGATATAGATAATGTAATTAAATACTGAGATATTCTTCGAACGCCCGAATAAGTGGATGCACGGGTGGACATGAGGATAGGGACAAATACGTGGGTAGATATATGTAAGTGCAAATTAACGCATACGTGGGTATGTAGATATTCTGCATATTGCGTATGCATATGCATATGTGTGTGTATGTATATGTATGTATGTATGTATGCATATATGGGTGTGTGTATGTATGTGTATATGTGTATACGTATGGATGTGTAAATATATATATATGTGCGTATGAGTATATATGGATATGCAGATGTCCGTGTGTGTATATGTATATATGTAAGTATAAGTATACATGGAGATAGGTATGGAGACATGTGGATGTGCGTTTTCTCTGCAGGTGTATATGTGTAAAGATGGAAATATACATATATCGTTTCGTGTGAATGTGTGTGTAGGTGTATATAGGAACTCATAGGCATATAAGATGATATAGGTATGTGGTTACAAATAGGGGTTTAAGACATGTGTAGATAAGAAAATATAAAAGAAGGGCCTAATTTTCTGCTAGTGACATCTCTTCCAAATTTCTCCTCTAATATTCTCCAATTGGAAGTGAATTTTAAATAGCACGAAGGGAAAGTTTTAGATTAGTATTTTAATTGAGATTGAAAGACACTACCCCAATGTGGAAAATAAAATTATTTAAATGGGAATAACTGTTGATAACTGGATACATAAAAACAACAACGAGTTTACTTAATGAACAAAAATCAAAAACAATCAAGAGTTTACTTAATGAAAAAAAATCAAACGAATTAATGTCAACCTAACAAGCTATAAGATAAAAGATTTAGTGGAAAAAAGTACTAAATATAAATTGGATTACTCTTCCAATGTTCTGTCTATGGATTTTCCAATCGACTGCTTCATAGAAAATACCCAAAACTCCACCGAATTTCAAATTAATTTCTTCGTAGATTGTTTGAAAATTTAGATATTTATCAAACCTTAACCTCCCAAATATGCACGTTAAAGTAACGCGAACTGACAGCGTCAAAGAATTTGAATGAAACCTGTCGTGTAATTTATTGGGGTTATTGTAATGTCTCCCTTTAATGTAGTTCTTATCGCTCACCCCTTAACCACCTTTATCTAGAGACGAGACGCGTTAAATTTGAGCAACATCCAGCCGACACGCTGGGGTTAAAATAGGAAACTAATATGATACATATGACACACTCATATCCTCTCTCCCACCTCACTTCCTCACTTCGTTAACTTTGCGTATACTTGATGAGGTCCGTAAAAAACGTGTGAATTTCTTTTCATTTTCATTTAGCTTTTGGAAGTAAATCTGATGATCCAGAACCCTGTTAAAGGGGTTATGGTGAAATAGCTTATTACATGGAATCTTAACGTGGTCTGTCCTTTATTCAATATATATATATATATATATATATATATATATATATATATATATATATATATTTCCAGGTAAATTGAGAATAAATGTACATAATATACGTAATATTTAATTTAAAAGAGAGTTCAATACCGTGTAGAGCTAAATATTAAGTATATATTAATGAATATACATATTATCTCTCACCGATAGCATAAATCGGAGTTTCATACTTAACGCAATCTTCAGGTGCTGAGTATAAACATAATTTAAATTTTAATAAAAATAGCAATGATGGCACAGTTATATATTCTACTGGGTTTACAGTATTTTTTTTAATTTAAAAAAATATGTGGCATTTAAAGTAAACGAGATTCATATATATATATATATATATATATATATATATATATATATAATATAAAAAAAAACAGTAAAATATACAATCCGGTGTTCTTATTGATATTTTTACTAATGCTTATAAAATTATAAATTTATAATTAAATTTGACGTTTTTAGCTGCAGTTTTTGAAACATGGTTATTACTTTGTAGCGAAGAAACCATATTTTAAATCAGTTAATTCATAATATATATATATATATATATATATATATATATATATATATATATATATATATATATATGCAGAAAGCACTTATTTGGGAAGTGTGAATATTAATATTTTATATTAAGCATAAAGGGAGATTACAGTTTTTTTAAAGAAACAATAATTTGCTTTAAAAATTAATCAAGATTAACGTATTTGAGTAGATATTTATTTTTATGTCTACATGTAACCATCAATCCATTTCTCTTTTTTCATAAGCTAGGGCTATTTAAGTATTTCAAGGTAACTAAGCTTCTAACAAGACAGAAATTACATATATTGCATTTTCTATTATAAGTTCCACAATAGGTATATTAACACCTTTAATTGCCAGAGAGAGCAGTGCTGTTTATTTATTTTATATTGCCTAACGGCATTCGATGATGGTCAAAATAATATTTTCATTGATTTTCCGTGGAACCAAATGAAGTAAAAAAGAGACGCCGAGAATTTTTTTTTTTTTAATTTTTATTTCTAATATATATCCTGGATGTATAATCTAGACTAGATTATATATGTCGAGTGAGGACTTTCAAAACAAGACTCTCAAGTCGCTATCCTCTAAAAAAAATTGTCTGATATTGATTATGCAGATGAGGTAGCTATCATTTCAAACACAATTAGCAATGCCATAGTTCTTCTATCTTTAGAAAATGCTTCTATGCTGAATACTTCCTGCGCTTCAACTAGCAATAAAACCTGTCGAATCTTTTTCACACCTCGAAAGCGAAATCATTTCTACTGAAAAGGATGTAAAAATCCACATAACTAAATTTGGGCCGGCTTGAAAAAAAGGATGCAATTTGGAAATCTAACCTAACAAACAATATCAAATGGAAATACTTTCGCCCCCTACCCCCTGTAAAGGCGGTTTTGATGTATGATTCCCCTGCTTGGACATTAAATGAAATCTTTGAGTGGAAGCCTGATAGAACCTACTCTCGTATTTTGAGAGCTATACTTAACATTTCTTGGAGACAACATCCAACTAAATCACAGCTTTATGGATACATCTCTGATATTTCAGTCTAACGTGAACGCAAAATACGCTTAGTAGGATATTGTAGGTGAGCAAAACAAGAAGTGATCTACAGCTCTGGACCCGTTGCCATGTTGAAAGATGGGTTGGCCGCCAAGCAATCACTTGACCAACTATTTTACGACACAGAATGCCACCCAAATGATAATCCAACCTTGATGCAGGACTATGATCGTTGGCGGGATAAACTCATGAATGTTCTAACTAACTCGACCGAATAAAATAGTCTAGGCGATTTCATTTAATTTATTTTTCTTTTCGTTCATGATTCTAGCATCTGTAATTTTGCGCATGCGTACATGCGTTTGTGGGATTGTGTATACATCTTTTCATTGTACAGCTGTGTACGCATTTGAGCAATGTTTGTGTGCGAGTATCTATATGCCAATCAGGGGTTTATTTTCATGACAACTTCTGACACACAATGGGGTGCATATCAAATAGGTATCCATTTTATAGCCATTTCTTTCTAATAACATGTCCATGCTGTACGAGTCGAAAACGAAAATGTTGCTGTCTCATTGTAAAACAGCTGCAAGACTGTTTAATATTGTTTCTTTATTTGCATAGTAAATTCTTTCGACTTCACAATCTTGTGTTTCAGACACCTTAAAAGAAGTCAATAAAATAAAATTAAAGTAAACAATAGTTATGTTTTTAACTGAATTCTAACTCTTAAACAATTCGTAATAATTTACATATTCTAATTTAGAATGCAACAATTATGGCATACGCTTGTATATATGAACGCCTCGTAAGAAATAAACTCAAGCCCTCTGTAATACTTTATCAGTAACTCTTGCACGAAGTAAATAAGACTAAGATAATTATGGTCAAAGCATGTGTGCAAAGAGAAGTCTTAAGCAATATGAGAACTCAACAAAAAAAATCCAGATATTTACAATCAGGTAAAAGGCAGCTACAAGGTCTAAGGCGGATGAGAAAGAGAAAGAACGACTAGTGAATTTAATACATACAGATATTCTGTAGGAAAGATAAGGAGAATTAAACGGCGGGTAAACTGCTTTAACGAATTTAAGCGGATAAATGGCTGTAAAAGTGTAAAAAGTTACTTTGAATAAACAAAAACAGGAACTGGTTGGAGGTCATCATCATCCCCGTTCTGAAAAGACATGGTTTACAGGATTTTAAAAAAGCATTTGCTCTCCAGTGAATTTGGAACTCTTCCTAAATTATGGAGGAATAGTTCGTCTAATTAATGTAGTCGACATTGATTGATAATTTTAAAAGATTTCCGCTTTCTGTTTAGCCATCCTTTGTAATGTGATGTCTCTTTACGACGTTCATAACCCCCCCCCTCATATGACAGGGTGTTATTTCTTCTTCACAAGTTGAAAGTTTATTCTGGACGAATTTTATTAACGGATTCCGTCTTTCTTATCAAATCTTGAATGTCTTGAAAGGCCACTCTTCTAGATATGGTGTTCCGCAGGGCTCTATCCTTCAACCTACTATGTTACTCATTTTTATAGATGACTTTCCTGACGCCATTAGTTCTCAAATACGTACCTCTGCTAGTGATACAGCTATTTACTCCTGACTTAATAGTAAATCCGATCGATGCATTAAGGTCAGATTTGGTATCTGATCTCAAAAATGAATTACAATCTGTTGTTAACTGGGGCAAGGAATATCTTGTTAATTTTAACGCGCTCAAAACGAAACTGCCCTTTTTACCTATGGATGGTGCACACCTGCATGAGAGTGACTTATTGCACCATCTTGGACTAACATTTTCAGCTAAAATGAAGTGGAAGGATTATACTGAATCAACTGCTAGTTCTGTAGCTAAGACCATTTGTTCACTGTGCCTTAGTAGACAATTTGCTCGCCAGAATTTATCTTATATATTTTTAAGTTTATCATAAATACTTTGAATATTGCTGCCACATATAGTCTGGTGTCCCTGCTATATATTTAGAGATTCTTGATAAAATCGAAAAAAGAATTTGCAGTGTTATTGGTCCTAACCCGGCATCTTGGCTTCAGACTCTTTGCCGCCGAGGTAACGTAGCTTCCTTGTAACTTTTCTATAAATTCCTTCAATGGTAATTGTTCTAACGAACTTTCTTCTATAGAATCTAAATTTTATAAATTTAAACAGTACAAGATTGGCAGCAAAATCTCATCATTTTACAGATGAAATTAGTAGATGCATCCATAAATCCTATGCTAACATTTTCTTCTATCGTACTACTCACTTGTAGAACTGCCTCCCTTCTTCCTAGTTAAATTTAAATTTTAAATGCAATGTCAATCGTTATTTTCTGTTTTCTTAATTCTTGTTCCTTTATTGTTCTCTCGCTTTAATATTTTCTTTTTTCTCATATTCTCTAACACTCACTAACCCACTTGCATCTTAGTAGCTTTATTGCCTTTCTTGCGGTGAAACGATAAAAACAACTGTTTATTTATTATCTGAGAAGTACCATTCATTCTTAAAGAAGGTAGTGAAGTGGATTCCCGTTGCATTCTACAGGGTTGGGGACAGAGTTTTATTCTCTTAGACGGGTTGTCGACCCAGGCTAGAGAGGCCTGTCTGTCATCTAATTTAACCCATAGCTGAGGGAGAAAATATGGATCCAAACCTGTCCCAAGGGTATTTATGCGAATGTGAACAAGGCAGATTAGACCGGTATTTGAACTCAGCTCGCCGACTCCATTGTCCGTGCCAATATAGATTACACCAGCAGCACATCGTTTTAGCGACTAAAACCATTATTTCTGGGGCGGAGACTGATGATTAAAAAGTCGGTTTTGCTAGTGATTTCGATAATTAATTCTATTGCCTAATGTCAGCTTAAGCCATATATATATATATATATATATATATTAAGGATTCATAGCATGGAGATGTAGGTGGGAAGTTTGTCTAGCAAGCTCTTCTAATGACTTCGTTAGTCACTAGGTGATTTATTGTATATTTACGCCACACTATGATTGCGGTTTTCATTTATGAAAATAATTTAGAGGAAAAAACTAAATATTGTTTTGTTTTTTATTAAGCACATTGGTGCAAAGACCGAGTTGATTTTTTTTCTCTTTCTTTCTAAATATTATACGTTTAATTATCTTTCGTAAAGCCTTTTCACTATTATTGCAATTATTCGTTTTTTTACCTTCACATTCTTGATTGTTTTTTAGTATATTCTAGATTGATACATACTTCGACTGTTTAAGTAAAGGACCCGAAAATTAGAAAAAAATTTCCAGCAAAACTTACTCTCAACACACCGGCAGTGCGCCTATCATGGACGTCGCCTTAATCAAATCGATCATTACGCATAGCCCTGTCTACAGTTGTCTTATCATTATCGCTTCTCCTACTCCATGCGACATTTTCGTTTACTACTATATTTCACGGTATATATTTATGATAAAAAATAGAGTTATTTAAATAGAGTAAATGTATCATGAAATAGTAAAAGTAAATGATGATTGGTTGATTTTGTGTGGTGGCATATCAACCTCTACAATTATTTAATGCTGAAATCTAAATATTTTGTACGCACTTGTATGGTTTCATCTATATATATAGTGCCTTATTTTATATTTTAAAGTTAAACTTATGTTATTTATATAGATAGTGTGTAGATGATAAAAAAATATGGCTGGTAATTCATTTTTAAATATATCGCTTGTAATTTCAATACATAATGAATTATTGGTAATTTTTTATTAAGAATACCGGACGTAACAGCATAATTGTCCAAATCGTGTAAAAGCAAAGTTGTCTAATTGTTAGATTAAGCTCTGAACAGTTGTATCCTAGAAATGATTAAAGATATCTTACTGGAATTCTCCGATGTTTTTATAAAACTATTGGGCTCTACTTTGAGAATTAAGAATGTATAATTACTCTTCAAGCATAACAAAAGAATAATGATGAAATCGATCATAAACGAAGATTACATGTTTATCATTAATTAAACATAGCTAAGGATCGGAAGCTCATGAAGGAGTGAAATAAAGTTCAAACACACACCCACCCACACACAAAGACAGGCACACACACACACACACACACACACACACACACACACACACACATATATATATATATATATATATATATATATATATAAATATAAATAGAAAAAACACTTTAAGGTTCCATTGTTATAATGTATTTTAACAGAAATTTTCTTTTTCTCTGGATCATCAGACCTAACTTCCAAGGATGAAAAAATGAATTTAAACTTACACTTTTGAAGGGCAATATTAAGCTTATATAAGGTGATATAGAGAGTGGTGAGAGGTAGTGTGATTCATTGACCAGATACGTATTTTCACTCTAGTTTGAAATTTATCAAAACTTTTTCCCGGACAGAATTTGTCAGGAAATCAGATTTCACAATTTCACTGTTATCACTTTTTCTATTACTACTGATGGCGGCCTCTTTCCAAAAACTCAACCCATGCCTCAAGTAGAGCTCATATATTGCTAAAGATGCTGGGAAAATAGTCAGTTTCCGTTTCTAGCAAATACCACACTCTTTCTGTTATCCTCCGCCTTTACAAGTGTCAGATCAGGCCGAAAATGATGTACTGCTGCCATATATGGGCTGGGGCCGCCCATTCTTCACTTTCCACTCTAGATACTGCAAAACCGTGTCTGCGTCACTGTAAGCGTCAAATTATTTTCCTCACTGCAGCCACTTTTTTCACAGACAAGAACTCGCTAACCATTCACTGCTCTATCGCTATTTCCATGGCGAGTGTCCATATGAACTACACACTTTAGTTTTACCAATCTTAACATTTACGGTTACGTTGTAGCGAATCAGCGTTATTCCTTTCGAATTCCCCTGGTGAGATGAAAGCTACACTCACGAGGCTTCTTCCCACAAACTGCTGCCTTGTGGATCCAACTCCCAAGAGGCTTCTTCCACGATCACTAAAATCTTACCCAGTTCAAGTCTATGGTTAAACGTTATCTTGCGCATATATCTACATAAGCTGTACCGCATAATCTGTAACTCTCTAGCTTGAGTTGCCCTCGGGACTTGTACATTGATTCTATTATGTTCTCTCTACTTAAATGTGCTACATATTGCTGTTGTTAGTACAGTTAAATTGTTTTTTGTTTTGTTTTTGTTTTTGTTTTTTTGTTTGTTGTTGTTATACTTAGAGATAATGTGGAGTAATGGATAGCGGCTCGGATTGACGAATCGGGGAGCCTAGTTCGAATTCCAGTCGAATCCATTACATTTATCTACGTGCTAATACCCTTGAGAAGTATGAATCCTCATCTTATCCCTCTCATCTATGGGTAAATAGCAGGGTAAACATCGTTCTATATCGTTGGATGGCAACTGGTCTACCTACTGCGGTAAAAAAAAAACCTGCCTCGACAGTCATGTACCGAAGTGTATATCACGCATAGCAAATAACTGACTGACTGTATAACTATTTGTGATTTTGTAGCGCCAGCGTATAGGGTCAAATGAAGAATTATATTCTTTAACATTTATTGGATTAATTCTTTTGAAAACATTTTAATAATTGACATGGCGAAATGGTTGAATATAGATGACTGTTTATATATCTCTAAGCAAGTTGGGCGTCACACACGATATGCATATAAAATTCTAGATCTGATAAGGCAATTTAAGGACATCCAGGTCAATATTTTGTTTTTGTAATATCTAGGGTGGGTACAAAAGTAACTCTAGCTGAACATACGCCGCGTTGAAAGTAAATCTCAAAAGGACATTAAATTAACATCAATATCATTAGTAACATTCAGTCAATTATGTGCAATGCCTGATACACGCGTAGGCGATCATGACTGACTAGGTAGTCTGGCATTTCTTTCTGCGGTAGACCACTTGCCATCCAAGGCTATAGAACCCTGGACAACCACAACTAGAGTGAGAAGAAGAGGATTAATACTTTTCCCAAGGGCATTAGCACGTAAGTGAATGTAATGGATTCGACTGGAATTCGAACTCGGCTCTCCGATCACTCCACCGTGCCTCCTAAATATGATAGCGGCTGGATTGAGGACTCTGAGAGTAAATCTGAAAAGGTCATTAAATTAACATCAATATCTGTATTAACATTCAGTCAGTTTTGTACCATGCGTGATAAACGCATAGGCGATCAAGTATC